CATCAGATTGTTGAAAAGGCTTTTTAATGAAGGAAAACTGTAATATCACGACTCTATTGTTAAAGATTCTCTGTCATGATTTTATCATCTTCAAGTGATAATCATATACAACCTTGTTCTCTATCGTCGTATTATCACTAAGCTTACTTGCATAATCTTAACTTGCCTCTTGTGCAAACAGTTAATGTTTATTTCTCTGCTACAAGGGAGCCCAGGCTGACAGCAAGAATGCAAAAAAGAAGAATAACAAGAAAACCAATAAAAACAAGAGCAGTGTCAGCCGAGCCAATAAGAAAAAGCCTGGGATGCCAAATGTAGCAAATGATCTTTCACAGAAACTCTATGCCACTATGGAGAAACATAAGGAGGTGGGAAACCTTAACAATATTTTTATGCATATTTTCTTCATAACTAAAATGCCATCTGACAAAAATGTTCTGCTTACATTGTATTTAAAACTAGCATACACACTTTCCCTTCTTTGTTCCACCAGGTGTTTTTTGTTATCCACCTCCATTCTGGACCTGTCATTAACACCTTGCCGCCTATCATGGACCCTGATCCTCTGCTAACTTGTGACCTCATGGATGGACGTGATGCCTTTTTAACTTTAGCCAGGGACAAGCACTGGGAGTTCAGTTCACTTAGAAGATGCAAGTGGAGCACAATGTGCATGTTGGTGGAGCTTCACAATCAGGGCCAGGACCGCTTTGTGTATACCTGCAACGAGTGCAAACATCATGTGGAGACTCGCTGGCACTGCACTGTTTGTGAGGTAAAATATTTTAGATTAATTATTTTTGAAATTTTTACCTATTTTAGTTCAGGTTGATTAGTTCATTAGTATAGCTTCAAATGTTTACACGGCTTTAATGTGATCTCCTTGTCTGTCATCAGGACTATGACCTGTGCATTAACTGCTACAACACTAAGGGCCATGAGCACCAGATGGTGAAGTGGGGCCTGGGTATAGACGACGACAGCAACGGTCAGGGTGGAGAGGCCTCCAAGAGCCCTCAGGAGAGTCGACGTCTCAGCATCCAGCGCTGCATCCAGTCACTAGTCCATGCTTGTCAGTGTCGCAATGCCAACTGTGCACTTCCTTCATGCCAGAAGATGAAGAGGGTGGTTCAGCACACAAAGGGCTGCAAGCGCAAGACCAATGGTGGCTGTCCTGTGTGCAAGCAGCTCATTGCTTTATGTTGTTATCACGCCAAGCACTGTCAGGAAAACAAGTGTCCTGTTCCCTTCTGTCTCAACATCAAGCACAAACTTCGTCAGCAGCAGCTGCAGCACAGACTGCAGCAGGCTCAGATGATGCGCCGCAGAATGGCTACCATGGCTGGAAGAGGTATGCCAATGCCATCTCCACCTACCTCAGCTGCCCCTGATACTCCAAATTCTGTGCAGCAGCCTAACACACCGCAGACACCGCAACCCATGCCCAACCAGCCCCAACAACAGCAGCCACCAAACCCTGCTAGTATRGCTCAAGGGTTTCCGAGCAATGGCCGCAACAGTCAACCTACAACACCAGTGCCACAAGGCAAACCGGGGCCTCAGTCATCCCCTCTTCATCAGCAGCTGTCACCTATGCCTAACATGCCACACCAACAGCAGCCTCAGCCTCCTCAGCAGCAGCCGCAGCAGCAGCAGCAGCAGCAGCAGCAGCAACTGTTGGCAGCGCTGCAGGTGGCACAACAGATTGAGAGAGTAGCCAAGGCAAAACAGCAGCAACCGAGCTATGCCAATAATGGGATGCCCATGAACCAAGTGCGCATGATGCCAAACCATATGCAGATGGTGCAGGGACCTCGGGGTCCTCAGGTGATGCAGGCTGTACAGCAGGGCCAGTGGGGTGCGGGCATGCAGAATCCCCAGGGCCATCAGCCACAGGTTCCTCTTCAGCAAGGCCCCATGGTCCCTCAGCAGCCTCAGGTAAATCCAATGTCTCAGCAGGGCCAGCTCATGCAGAGGCCTATGATGCCCCAGCAGCATGGCCTTCAAATGCCTGGTGTCATGCCTCCCCAGGGGCCCTCGCAACAGAGTATGACTCCACAACAACAAAACATGCCCCAAAGAATGTCTGGTAATATTACTCCAAGTGCCCTGCAGGATTTACTGCGGACCCTCAAATCTCCAAGCTCCCAACAGCAACAACAGCAAGTCTTGGCCATCCTCAAGTCTAACCCCCACCTCATGGCTGCTTTCATTAAACAGAGGACAGCCAAGTACCAGGCCAACCAGGTACCACAGCAACAGCAGCAGGTACAGCAGCAGAACCCACAAGCCATGATGGGTTCTCAGGCAGGAATGCAGGCCATGGCGGTAATGGCAAACCAAGTGCAGAGGCCCGTGATGGCTCCTCAACAGCAGCCTCCACAGCCAGTGGGGCCGCAGGGTATGGTGCCAATGGGTCCTCAAGGCCAGATGATGAATCCTGCTCAAAATGGCAGTCCACAGCAGTACCACAGACTTTTAAGGCTGCAGCAGATGCATCAAATGCAACAACAGGGAGGCTTGCCTCAGGGCCATGGTCAATTCCCTCAGCAGCAGCCAGGGCCGCCAAATTTCTCCCAGCTCCGTGCACAGCCACAAATGGCTATGCAAGTAGGTGGTGGACCCATGGGACAGCTCCCTCCAGCATCCCAGATGGGCCAACCTGGCATGGGCTTGGAGGGGATTCAGAATCATGCCAAGCATCGCATTATTCAACATCAAATGATGAAGCAACAGATGGGTTCTGCAGCGCAAGCTAATTCCATGAGTCCACAACCTCATTTGCTTCAAAGCCAAGGACAGGGGGGGCCTCACTTACAAGGCCAGACAATGGCAAACACTCTGGTGCGCTCCCCAGCCCCAGTGCAATCACCTCGCCCACCTTCACAGCAGGCCCCTCATTCCAGTTCCTCCCCACGGATACAACCCCAGCCATCACCTCAGCATAGTGCTCTCCACTCCAGCTCTCCTCACCCTAGCCTTGGTCCATTGTCAGGCTCAATGGAGCAAGGACACATGGGAACTCCAGAGCAGAGTGCCATGCTCCCACAACTTAACACACCAAACCGAGGAGGGTTAAATAATGACATGAGTATGGTGGGTGACACAACAGGAGACACGCTAGAGAAATTTGTTGAAGGATTGTAGCATTTTGAGACAAAAGAAAGGCCTTGCTCTGTTTTCAGCTGAGAATTTTTTGTATTTACCGAAATGAAAACCTGAAGAAAAAAAAAAGAGTCTTACGAGGCCTACGAACTGTGAACTTTACTTGGACTACTTTTACCTACAACACAGAGTGATTTATTAGTTGCTGTTGAAAAGAAGAAAAAAAGAATAAAGGATATATTTTTGGTTTAGACCAGGCTTGCAATAAGCTCTGGTCTTTCCGTTGTATTTTGTTTTTCATTTGTTATGATCTGCTATTAACTTTTTAAGAAAAAGAAAAACTTCTCAAAATTAAAAAAAAAAAATCATTTTTGTACCTTTGCAAATTAATATTGTATTTGTGTTGAGAAGTCTGTAAAATTATTTGTCTGTGAATTTTTTTGCCAGGGTTTAATTCTTGCTCAGTTTCCCTACTCCTGGCTAATTTATTCTAATATGCCATTTTTCAAAAGGACTGCCTTTAGGAAAGCCTTAAATTCTTTCCTGTTTGCAGAGTCAAAATGATTAACATGTTTGTATAGATGTAGGATACCTATTGCGAACTCACAAACACAAGCTGGCAAAAAAGAAGCCTGTATTGAAACAAACTTGTTCATGGTTCTCGGTACCAGAACGTTCTTTATACTGGCCTGTTCTCTGCGTTTGTCTCGCAGATTTTCAGAAGTTGCTTTGTCTCATGTTTATTCTAATTAAAATGTCATTAAGTACTGAACCTGTTTTGCCTGTGGTGGGAAATTTAATTGTTTGACTGCTGATTTGTGTTCAGAGAGTTTTGTGCATCATTTTCTCTCGTGTTAGACTTGAACTGATGAGGAACTATTCTCTAATGTAAATCACACAGCTAGACATTACTGTAAATATGCAGAAAATAAGAATGAAATCACTGTATAAACTGGTTCAAATGGCTCATTTCGTACTTATATACCATATTGTTAAATAAACCTGTGTGCTGAAAACTGACTCTAATTTTTCAAATGCTGGTGTCATTAAACGTTTGCTGTATTGTAACATTTTGGGGGAATCATTTGCAGGTTTACTCTTTTGATGCAAGAAGCAGTCTAAATTGACATAACATTTTAAATTTTCTTATTTTGATTAATACACTTAAAAACAGTAAATTGTAATTACTGTCAAATACGGAAACTTTCAAGTGTTGTAAAATGGATAAGTGCTGATAAATGGTAAAAAAAAAGTATTCAGGACATTTTATTGCTATTTAACAGTCAAACATTTCAAACACATTGAAACAAGTATTTTTAGGTATATGGGTTTAAAAGGATTTAGCATTTAAAGTAATCCATTTGGCTGTTAATTAAATTCAATTCAGTTTATATAGCGCCAAGTCCACAACTGCTGTCTCAGGGCACTGTACACAAAAAAACAAATCTAAAGAAGATGAAAGCATGCAATGCATTCTTCTGGCCACCATATGCCAAGGTTTGGAAGAGAACAGAGGTTTTGAGCGTGAGCATTTTAAGTTTTGAGAGCTCCGGTTCTCAAATTGAAAACATCAACTCTTGATTAAAACCAGAATAATTCTTCCATACCCCCAGGCTGTCTTTGCCTGTGTGAACACTTGAAACAATAGATAGAATAATAGAATAATAGATAGCCATATTTGACCTTGAAGGATAAGTGCATTGTTTTATTTCTTAATTTGTCTTCAGTAAAATACATTGAATAGTATATGTATGTATAATATGATTAAACCAGTAGTGCTTTTACACAATGTGAATTTATACGCTCCTTTTTGACATTTCCATTTGACATTTCCATTTCTCATCAGGCAGATTTCTGAACACCCTTCTTACGTCATTTTCAAGCGCGCTCACTGGTCTTTCATCTATTCAAGCGTGTCCCTGGGTCGACCTGTTCCTCTGCGTGTTGTGAATAGGCTGTCATGTCCCGTTGTCTCGCTCTAGCCCGGTTCGCACTCGGTTCTTCTCAGAAACCCAATTCACGGTTACTGTCATGTGCACGGGGACTGAACAACCGAAGTGTCTCGCGCCCCTTGACCGGAGGTAAGTGGTGTTCCTTCGGTTAGCCTAGTTAGCTTAGCGTAACCGACATCGACAAGCACGTAAGTAAAAAAAATATCTTTCCTCTTTTTGCAGTTCACTTAGAAAATACGACAGTATTACGTACGATTTAAGCAAGTATTTATTTCTCAAAGTTTGTTGCCAGAAATTCAGAATGAGCTTCTTTGGACTGGAAATGTTACGTACGTATTATGTATGTAACCTCTTAAACTCAACACAAAATTGTAGATTTTTGTCTGCATCTGTTCCTGCTGTAGCTAAAATGTGATCAAGAACTGTGCATGTAAATTAAATTATATTGCTGTTTATAAGAACAAAATGTATTTATAGACGTATTACTGGTTTATTAGGTTGCTCATCAAATTAAATTTAAATATCAGAAAGGTGACCTGTGTAGGACCTGTATTAAAATATGCATGTGCCTTATGAAACAGCCTCATCTTCATACCTGTTGTTATCAGGCTTGCAGGTTGGACAGCTGCAGAGGTGCAGCGGTCGATCTTTCTTGCGGAGGCTGCCATCGTCCTGTCAGAGCTTCAGCCAGCAATGTTACTACAGCACACAGGAGGTGGAGAAAGAGCCAGAGAAAGAGTCAGAGGAGGAGCCTCTACACACCATCATCAGTGATACAGAGTCTGTGCAAGGTGCTAAGCAGCTACTGACATAGACTCTTCTCAAACTTTGAAAAACACTTAATTTTTTTGTCACATTTAGGCTGATCCGAATTTCCAATTTTTCCTTCCAGGTAGTTTCTCTAAACATGAATTTCAAGCTGAAACTAAAAAACTTCTGGATATTGTTGCCAGGTCCTTGTACTCAGAAAAGGAGGTAAGAGGAGGAATATATTATTTCTCTAATAATAAACTTTAACTTCTCTTTTTTTGACTGATATTTGTGCTGTTGCTGATCCCATTAGGTGTTCATCAGAGAGCTGATATCTAATGGCAGCGATGCTCTTGAGAAGCTGCGGCACAAAATGATCACATCTAGCAGAGAATTGGCACCAATGGAGATCCACCTGCAGACTGATGCTGCGAAAGGAACTTTTACCATCCAGGTACGTATTCTGTACAACTTCAACCTTATTTTGTCTTACAAGTCAAAGAACTGTTTTTATTGTCTGTGACTAATCGCCTGAATTGGTGAAATTTGTCTTGTTTGTTGCTGATATTGACTGACAAACGTTTCCACAATGTTTTCCTCTGCCACTACCAAAAAAAGTCTTTTTAAAAACAAAAGTCAGAAGTTTTCATTTGAAATGTTAACACTTCAGTTTTAAAGCGTCTATCAAAACAATGGGGAGGATATTTTTATTATTATTTTGAACTTAAAGTTTGTTTGAGCTGGCTCAGTTTCCATAGTTTTCCTCTATAACACTTGAATAAAAAAAACTAATTTAGACTGACCAAAACTACATGTAAATGCAGACAAAGGTAGCAAATGTACAATGATAGCCAATGTCCTTAAAATTTTTAGAAAATCTAATGTTTGTGCTGCTTTTTATTGTACACTGCCACCTGGTGTATGATTTCGGTACAGCAGGCTGTAGTAATTTCAGCTTGAGTGAATTGGGCTGTTTTTACTCTCACAGGATACTGGAGTTGGTATGAACAATGAGGAGCTGGTGGCTAACCTGGGTACCATCGCCCGCTCAGGTTCTAAGGTGAGTCTTATCAAAGCAAACCTTAACATTTCTTTAACAAAATATCTACATGTTTTTATACTGAATTAAACCTCAGATTTGACCTTGATTAGGTATTTAATTATATTATGTTTATCAGTTAAAACTTGCTGTTGAGTTGAAGCACAAATTAAAGAAGACCTCTATCATTTCAAATCATAATATCTTGTGGTTCCATCTCCTCCACATTGCAGGCGTTCTTGGATGCTCTGCAGAACCAAGCAGAGGCCAGCAGCACCATCATTGGTCAGTTTGGAGTCGGGTTCTACTCTGCCTTCATGGTGGCCGACCATGTGGACGTCTTCACCCGCTCTGCAGAGCCTGATGCACCTGGATACAAGTGGTCCTCAGATGGGTAAAAGCACTGAAG